AGAGAGAGAGAGAATTGAACCACCAGCTCACCTGATGCATTTTTCATTCCAATTTCTTTTGAAGGAGATGGCGCCATACTAGAAAGCTGGATTTTGGATCTACTACTACTGTAACAGTAGATTGGCTGCTGCAACCAATTTCTTCTTTGTTGGGGGGCGGGAGGGGGTAACATTTTCCATGGTTTTGGGTCTAKCCAACCTAGAGCCATCGTCGAGCCATCGTCTAGTCAGCGTAGAGCCAGCGTCGCAGCCAGCATCCAGCCAGCGTCAAGCAGCAAGTGCAAGACTGAATGTCGGTCAGCAGGGGCTGGGTCAACTTATAGTGTTGACTCGAGGTTGACCAGCCTCTGGTCTCTCGGATACAACGGCCCAGATTGACCCACAGTCATCGGCCTGGATCTCATACTGAAACAGTATTCACCGGTTTGCAGTAGCTGACGCAGATCCCAGGGCTCGATCCCTAGTTCCCCACCTTACCTGTGTACAGTATCGGTGTCAACCCGTAGAGTTGAACCTGCGACCTGTAGGACCGCCAGTGGTAGGTAGGATTTCGTAGGTCACAGAGTAGAAGGGATTCGAACTGTAGACCTGTCGGGTAGGACTCTAGACAGTCCAGAGGTCGTAGCTGTAGACTGTCTGAAGGGTCAAGGTCGTAGCTGCTACTTACCTGAAAGGGCGAAGTCGTAGCTGCTACAGTACCGAAAGGCCAAGACAGAGGTTTCTAGAAGTGGCCTTTCGGAGTCAGCCTATGTTAGACAGAGGCAAGTGGTCAAGTGGTGGCAGTCCACCTCATACAGTCAGCAGTCCCAGTCCACCCAGTCCGGTCCAGTCAAGCAAGTACCGTCTGGGACTGTGTGCCCCATGGGCCAGGGGTTACAGGGCAGACCAACGCGTCACAGAAGTATAAATCAAGAGGCTGCGCCAAGCCATTCATTCATTCCTGCGGAAGCCATGCAGAAGCGCTGCCACAGCAGCTTGTGCGAGGAGGTCTGCAGTAGGCCCGAAGACGAAGTGGGCGAAAGTGAAGCAGTGTAGCCATAGCGATAGGTAGCGGCAGCCATAGCTGCCATAGCTTAGTGTAGAGTGCAGTGTGTGTGTACTGTATGAGTGTTCAGAGTGATGTGCGTGAGACATCCAGGGTGATCCGGAGTGTGAACAGTGAGTTGTTTGGGCGCACAGCCGCCATAGCTAATTGCAAGAGAACTCTTATCTGGTTGCGATATCTCTGAGTACTGTGTGGGCGCAGGTCGCCAGTTTGCTGTATCGCTGTTTACATGAATGAAGAGTGTGTTTGAGTTGAGTCTGATTGCAATACAGTTGCAGATTCCCACTTCAAGTTGGACCGGATTCCTGCAAACAGCCATTGCAAGTGATGTGTCTGATCAGTGGCCTGGGCTGGGTCCGTGTTGACTTTGACTCGTGAGCCTGAATTTCCGAGGTGCTGTTGACCTTTGACTTTCCGTGGTCAACTTTTGCGTTTCGGGCCTCTGAAGCCCATGTTTTAGGCTGCCTTGCTTTGGTACCGACAGCGGCTGGCCTTTGTTCAGGCTATTTCTTGACATGGGGTGTGGCCGCTGGCCCCTGATTCATCCCTTAAAGGCCGAGGTGACGACCTATGCCTCACAATTATAGCATGATACGAGCTGAGTTATTACACTATCATAAAATTATCTTCTTAAACCACCTGTAAGAAGTAGACCACACTCTTCTTTCAATCGGCCCGGTGGGGACCACCGGTTAAAATTATCTTCTTAAACCACCTGTAAGAAGTAGACCACGCTCTTCTTTCAATCGGCCCGGTGGGGACCACCGGTTAGATTGCTCGGACGCAAGAAAATTTAGGCTCAGCAATTTAAGGCCATTCTGGCGCTTTCACTAGTACAAAAATCTTTTTGAGAATGGATTGGCTGAAAAAGAAGAAAAAAAAAAGAAAAGAGAATGGATTGGCTGGCTGTGCAGTGTGATGTGGATTGAATGTGCAAGGTAACCTTTGTGTTGATATCCCCTCCGATTAGCCTTGTTAGTGGCAACGGCAAAAAGCGCTTTAGACTCTTTAGGGGCAAATTGGCCAACCATACCAAATTAGTACCTGCATCCAGTTCTTCAGCCTAACTGATCTCCTCCTGTTCTTGGGCCTGGACTACAAACAGAGCCCCAAGTGGGACTCTTATCATGTCAAGTGCAAAAAACAAGACTTGCATTATGTGACTCCTTTCATTGCATGTTGATCCCATCATATCTACTTGCGGGGGAAATCATTGGCGGCGATCAACTTGAAATATGGCAGGGCCAGGGAGCGAATGTACGAGCGTTGAGTACTGCAGGTCCTGGACCACTGGAGGTTTTTTTTCCTCTCTGTTCTCCTTGTATAGGCACTCAATGCTCATATCAGTGACACCCTCAGATACCACCAGCAGTGCGATGTGAAAAAAAAGAAAAGAAGAAGAAGAAGAAGAAGAAGAAGAAGAAGAAGAAGAAGAAGGCAGAGAAGTGAAGACTCAAGCTCGTCGTGAAAGGGGATCACTGGGAATAGCCAGCCCTTAGGGATTTTCGGACTAAGCTCATAAATTTTCTACACGCATATCATATCAAGGAATTGAAGCGGCGCGGGACTAAGGCCGAAGGGCCGCCGCCTGGCGGCGCCTATGGTCGCCTCTTCAATCTCTCCGTGTGGCATATGAAAAAAAGCTTGTACTCCAGAGCGGATTAGTTTGAGAATCCGTTTATCTCGGATTGTTCGCCGGATGATCGCACAAGAAATATGCAACAAATTGGAACAAAAAACATCATTTCGTCAAATCTGTAGATCTATTTTCCAACAAATTGAACAATGCAATTATGTGAAAGGAATTCGATGGCCCACGTTTGGTGTTTTTTGATTCCTACATGGAGGCTCGCAAGAGTCAGAGCTGCGGCGGAGAACTCATTCCGGGGACCATAGCCTGTCGTGAAAGGAGATCACTGGATTTAGCCAGTCCTTGGAAGATCTCCGACCGTGTCTCCGAGATGCAGTTGAACGGGGAGTTCGTGAACGCGAGGTGTAGGTGGGATACCAACATCCATAACACGAAGATCAGAATCACCATCAAGAAAAAAAAAATATCATGATGTAGGATAGGGGTCAGTGCAGAACGCCTGCCCTCAGAACCACACGTGACAGTTTCCCGTCATGCATCTCGCCCCCCAAAACCTTAGCCTTGTTTGTGGGCTCGGGAAGGGAAGCTGACAAACAGCTTCGCTTCGCGCCTTCCGACATTTAATTGTCCGGAATCAATCTCACGTGTAGCTAGAGTATTGATTTCCTGACCTTGCACTGTGCTCAGCAGACGCTTCGCGTCTGATCTGATGCCAGATAAGAGAATCGCAGATATCTGGAAAGGTCTCGAACAATCAACACGATCTAGATTCCAATCTAATACTCGATTGGTCGGACCGGACCGTGTTCGTATCTCAGTCAAGGAACACCTGAAAGCCTGCAACATCACTCTCCACTGACTGTCTAGATGAATCCAAGATCGGATACGAGACTGACTGGGCCCTTTGTAAATAAGAAAGAGGCGCAGAGCTGACGGATCTCCAAGAAACAAACAAATGCGAAGGCAAGGCCTTCGTTCGGCAGAAGAGGTTGGGGCACGGATACACAGTGATGTAGGATTTGGCGGTGAGAGGAACGGGAGGATCGGCGTCGATTCGGAGAAGCCGGTCGTCAATTACATAGATTCTCTCTGGCGCACTGTTCTTCTTCATCTTCGTTCTTCTTTGATGTCTAGACGAGAGGTCCAGAAGGACCAAGATGACTCGATGGATGGTCGTGAGGGACCGAGGCACACTGCCACTGCGGGTCCCGGAGCTAAAAGAAGTACCTTAGGGTCCGTCCGTGTTTACGGGAACCTTTGGAAGAGTGGCTGAGTCCCTTTTCTTGCTCTGTGATAAGCAACCGGACTGACGCCTCCCCAGATTGCGGGGGGGGGGAGGGGAGGGTAAAGAAAGCCCTCCGCTCCTCTTAATTTAAAAGAAATAAATTAATTAAAACAAGTAAATAAAAATATAAAGCTGATGGTTGTTTCCACTTGTTTGCCTTTGTTTTCCACTTTGAAATTCTGTCTGCTTTGAGTTCAACTTGTCCTTTTTTTTCTCCTGGAAATTTGGAAAACACATCAGATTCTGCTCTGGATTGTTGTCCTCTTATGAACAGATAAAGGAAAGGTGGGAGATGGTGGATGGGAGAGGTGCCTGGGAATCGCAGAAGACTGTCTCTCCTGTGCTGGAGTCGGTGCTTTTCCTTATGCAGGTATATACAGCATTATACACCTATAAGGCTACACTGTCAGCTGCACAACATAATATAAATGAGTACAGATTCTAAAGAAGCAACGGCGGACGCGGATGGTTTTGAATTCCAGGACCTAAACCCTAAACAAGAAACACGCATCGGCAAAGAAATCACGAGCCGACTTTGAAACGGCAATTTCAGTCTAGAAGTATCCGTTGGGCTTTTTTTTTTTTTTTTTCCATCTGACACCACGGCTGACCCCTGTAAAATATGACACCTGGTCTGACACCACGGCCGCGGTACTTACATTGCCCTTTTTGAACTCTCGCCTGGTTTCTTTGAGGAAGCTTTTTTTTTTTTTTTTTTTGTTTTTTTTTGTTTTTTTGTTTTGCGCCCTATGAAACGCTGATGTGACATGAACGTACGTCGTACTTCCCTCATTACTAAATTATTTAAAACAAAATAAAATTATAAACATCCGATCTAAGCTCTTAGAAAATTTTAAACTTGTAATTTCCAGTAACTACTTTCAAAAAAAAAAAAAGGGAAAAACGCCACAGGCTGGCAGAGAATTTGAGTGAGATCTTATCCTTAATCCCGGAAGGCTGGGCCAGACTACATCAGGGACCACGGCGTTGGGATTATGGGGAGTGGACCTCCTAGTCCAACAGGGGCGCTCAACGGAAGCATTTAGAATCGGGAGGCAAGCGGGACTGGGAGGGGGGAATGGCTGAGCGCACAGATGTACACAATTTAACTCCCAGGGGCCTATACAAG